GAAAAAAAGCAGCGGACGACCGCGGAATATTTATTTATTGCTATCGCTCGCACTCCCGCACTAGCACGGACGAAAAAAAGAGAGGGAGGGTGGGAGCTTTCAGTTATTATCTCGAACCCCTGCGACACGCGCGAACGCGGGCTTAATTAAATTGCATGGCGCTTACATCTCATTTCGGACAGCTTGTGGTAAATTGTCGTGAAATAGCGATCTGGACGGCGACGAGGAGAGAATACTTGCGGTGACTAGTAGCGTTGACGTAGTAGCACCTCTCGTAACTTGAACGCGCACGTTAGCCTAAAATTCGTTATACGCGATTGTGCAACCAGATATCATCGCCACTTCGTCCTTTCACTTATTTCGTGACGATGACGTCGATGCGATTCGCCGACAGCATTAATCGCAATCAAATATCGCCGGGGAAAAAAAAGTTCTCCCCCCTTCCGCCCCGTGTCTCGTAGCCCGCGGGGCCGGCGTTGTAACCGCATCAACGGTGCTGATATCTCGAAAACAGGAACGATTTTAAACGTTTAATCGAAATCGATTCCGTTATTCACTCTGTATAAGCTCTCGTCGGTGCGGTGTCGTGGTGAGTTGATACACGGTCGTTGTTTCCGGGGTGAGTTGAAAATCGGCCGCGAATCGAGACGCCGCGATATCGATTGTTCGCTTCCCCCGTCCTCTCGAACGCCTCCTCGTCTTTTTCCTTGGTTCAGCCATTTTCCGGCAGTTCGTTCTCCATTGGTCGCGGAGCTCGCGGTCGCGTTACTCTTTTTCCAACTTTTACGCCACCCTCTCGCCTTCCCCCCTCGTCCCTCTAGCCGCCCGGCCTCTTCCATCCTATCATCCCCTACCCGCCTTTTTAATCCCATCACAGAGTCGAGCGCGCACCAACGAGGCTGTCGCCGGAGGTCGGTAAATTAAATCTCGAATAAAGTGCAAATAAACGAGCAAGGGGAAGAGAGAGAGAAGTGGGGGACGAGAGAAGGGGGGCGTTACCCGGGTGGTGGTCGAAAGTGCGGTACAAAAAAGCGACAGGGTGAGAGCGAAAAAAAAGCTAGTGGAGAGAAAAGGGGAAGGGAGGCGAGAGCGAGAGAGAGAGAGATAGAGAGAGAGGGAGAGAAAGAACACAGAGCAAGCGCGAGTCGAAAAAGAGCGAAAGGGATAAAAGAGCGAACTGGCGCGCGAGAGTGTAATTTATTTTAATTAGAGTGGCTGCATTATGTAAGCGGGTGAAGCGCCGATGAAAGGGTTTGAAAGGGTCGAGAGATCCTGACACCGACCCCCCGACCAACATCCCCTTCCGCTAACACCCTGTCTCTGCTGTCTACCCCCGGGAACAGACTAATTCGCTCTCGCTCAGGGCTGTGTGAGAATCGCGGGAATCGTGTCGAAAAGTCAGCACCTAAAGATTCGCGGCTGATTCTCCGCGCAGCTCCGTCACATGCCATTTCACATGACAAATGTGTGCTAATGCGTACCGCAAACGATAATGTATTTTACATACGCGCTCCGCAGCTCCGCAGAACTAAAATAAATTTTCAAGCACGCTCGCATAGAGAGAACCGCGAAAAACTGCAAGCTCCGTAATTATCCATTTATTTATTGTATAATGGATACATTCTTTCAAAGCTTCGTTTAAAGTTTTCTCTACTGCGCGCTCGGCGCAAAACTTAATTACCGAGCTGTCCTGTTCTTGAAAATTAAGAGAGATTCGAGCGTCAAGAGTGCTGCTTGGAAAGCTTGAAGAGCGCTCCCGACACGGGGTGCGCAAGGCGCGAGTCACGCTCTTGAACTTCTCACCCCCGTTCTTTGGCGGGCAAAGTAGAGAACCAGCCAACCCTCCTGCTTTACCGACGCCTCTGATCTCGTTAGGAACGCATTAATTAATTTACAAGATGGCGGCGGTGGCGACGACGACGGTATAAGAGAGCAAGAGCCTCGTCGTACCGCGGGGGGCGGCGAGGGCGGCCGACGCGGGGTTGGGGCGAAGGTTACTGCACGGCACGTTTTAATTACTAATTGAAACGTTCTCCTACCACCGCGCCGATCCAGTAATTCCGTTTCCACGTCCCTGTCACTTTCACCCCTCCGTCCCCACCCTCGATTGCAACGACCCTCCAATCCGCTCCGCGATCCTCTCCGACTTTGTCTTAATATCCGCTTTTCTCTCGAGGATACTTAATATTTTTAAATACTTTGCATACTTTACCTCTCCACCTCCCCCATTATACGCTTCTCGTCTTTTTCCCCTGTGCGGAGTATTAACGGAGGGACGCTCCACGCCGGAATTTATGAGACGGTGAATCTGCGGCTTCCGCGAATTAATTAATTAAAAACATCATGGCGCCTTAATAACGCGTCGCCGCGTTCGCTTTTCGGCCCCGCTTTATCGTCTTGTTTCCCCTTTTTTTCGAGACTGCCTTCTTTCTCGCGCCAAGTTGTTATGG